GCTCTGGCCCCAAAGTCTATTTCTGGTATTCCCTGGGGACTTCATTGTACTGCTCCCCTTGCTGTTCTGTTGCATACCCTTAGTGTTTTGTCTTGGCGTGGTGGGATCAGATCAGGTGCAGTCCCCACACTGTCTCCAGTGTTGTCCCCTGTAGGGCTATGGGTCAGTGAGGGATGTCGTGTCTCATAGTGGGGCCGGCCATATGGTCTTCTCTGTGGATTGGCTGCTCTGAGCGGGAACCAAAGATATTTTGGGAATAAAAGAAATAGTCACTAAAGACACAAGGGTTCCAAATTATTAGAAGAGGAAACCAACCTCCGGCAATATCTGAAGCGCATTTTGGAAGGCAAAGTGGAGAAGATCAACTATTAATTATCCCATGCCATGAGGTCTCCTGGGGAAGCAAGCAATGGCCTTTGGATGATCTAGAGTACTTAATGTATGGATTGCCTATCATGGATTAAGTTCTGTGGGAAAAAGGTCAACAGTAGTTGACTCTCCAATATAAACCCATTAGCATGGTGAGCCAACCCTACCTGAGCTAAACGTGAACCTTGACCTTGCTCAAGTCCCTCCCTCTGTCTAGGAACCCACCTCCTAATTCCCTAGTGCCGTCCACATGTCCAATCACTGAGAAGCATGTATGTCTCCCCAACAGCTCCCAGCATTCCTCCTCTGTGACCACCAGTAGAGCGTTGATGGAGATTATCATGTACACATAACCCATGCCTATGACACTATAAAATAAAAACACATCTTTAGTGAAGGGAAGCTATATATTCCCATGGCTTTTTATTCAGAGAACAGTAAGATAAATACATTTTAAATATTACATTTTTCTATATACAAGTTCAAAAGTCACTTGAAAATATAAAAAATGTAGTCTTCAATGGTCAAGAAACATTGAATGTTCTTGACCAGGTCGAGAATGCCAATTCAGCAACATGAGGGGAGACACACCTGTGTGTGGCAGGAACATCTGAAAATCTCATCAAGGCGGATACTGAGCCTCCACCACTGCACGAGCGAGTAGGCATCACTTCCTAAAGCGCTTGAAAAGCGGGTGTACGTGCTTGGTGGAAGCCTTGTTCCGCGGCGAGGAGTGGTACTCCATATACACAGTGTCATCAGCCCCAGACATGGAGCTCATGGTGCCGAAGCGCCGGGATACCTGTGGGAGGAGAGAGCCCACCCACCGTCAGTTTCCAAAGGGGCAAAAAGACAATCCCTTTAAAAATAAACTATTAAGTTATTTATTATTATTTTAGAAAACCTTTACTGACAATTTATGCATTGTTCAAAGCATTTTACATGTACTTATATTAACTAATTTCCTCTTCACAAACATAATCTGCATTTTGTAGAAGAAACAGACACAAAATGATTAGTAACTTGTTTAAGATTGCACAACTCTGAAGGAGATGTTGTAGTGGTTATGGGTTGGTTTGCTAACCGCACGGTCAGCAGTTCGAACCACCACCCGCTCCTTGGAGGAAAAAGAGGCTTCTACCCCTGTACAGAGTTCCAGTCTTGGACACTCCCGGGGCCATTGCTACAAGTCAGGATCCACTCAGTGGCAGTGAGTGTGGCTTTTTAAGGCAACGGCACATGAACTCACGCAGCTAAGACTGGCTTCAAATTCTTTGTTCTTAACC